AGAAGATGCAATACACCAGACCCAACAATTCAGAAGAGCTAAAAGCCACTATTAGAGCAACCTGGGCTATCATAACACCTGAGCAGTGCCACAGACTGATCGACTCCATGCCACGCCGCATTGCTGCAGTAATGCAGGCCAAAGGAGGCCCAACTAAATACTGAGTGCTGTACATGCTCATACTTTTCATGTTCATACTTTTCAGTTGGCCAACATTTCTATAAATCCTTTGTTTTTATTGGTCTTCAGTAATATTCTAATTTTCTGATATGATGAATTTGAGATTTTCATTTGTTGTCATTTGTAATCATCAAAATTAAACAAAATAAACATCTGAAATATATGAGTTTGTATGTAATGTATGAATATAATATACAAGTTTCACTTTTTAAATGGAATTACTGAAATCAATCTACTTTTTCATGATATTCTAATTTTATGACCAGCACCTGTATAGCTATTGCTGGTCGTAGAATAAACTGGATCATCTGTTGATGGAGGACTCCAATTAGCTGCAAGAAAAGAGCATATATTCAACAAATTAACTTAAAGATTTCCCTAATGATATTTGCCAAACAAAGCTAAGAAGTAAGTTTTTAAGACGAATCTCTAAATGTGAAAAAGAAACATTTTCAAAGCAGAGATGAATGATTTTACCACTGACAGTGTAAGCAAAGGAAATGATTACCTGACCTTCATCTTGCTCTTTAATTCTGTGGTTTCACATTAGCGTAATCAGTATTTTCCTCTGAATGATGAGGCCTCTCTATGAAAATTGTACAATGAATACATGGAAAACAGAAATTAATGTTTAAAATATCTTCAGAAAATGAATTGACTACCTGAAATTTTTTAATTGTTTACATTTGTTATTAAATGAAAGCTTGGGATTCATCTTTATTTACAATATTTCAAAATTTAATCTCAACTATTTATAATCCATCTTCTTAATCAACAACATCTCTATATTAAAATATATACTTTACCTCCTCCAGTGGCTCTGTGGGTTTGGATCGTCTCATAGACTGAAGAGGTCGCTAGAAAATAAAAAACATATATTTCCATTAAAGAAGCTCATGGTTATGATATAAATGCATTTTTATGTTCCTCAGCATAAGCAGAATATTGCTTAATCAATTCTGACAAAATGATGAAATTCAGCAAAAAAATATTCAGGGGTCCGTTTCACGAAGCAGGTTTAACAAACTCAGATTAAAATCTGCAACTCTAAATTGATCTAGCCTAAAGTCGGCAACTCTGAGTTTTTTATGTCACAATCACTTAAGAGTCCAGAGTTTAGCATGTGCGCAACAAGTAGCAAAAGCCCTTATGAGTGGAGCACAGATTCAACGAGTCACCATGACAACAGGCAACAGCAAGTGCCTATTTCACCCCACTGGAACTAGAGATTTTATTGAAAAAAAGCACACAAAAAAAATAAAATAAAAAAGTAGAATGTGATTAAAAGACAGAGAAACAACGTTACAGCTGCAAAGGAGAGTAAAATGGAAGAAGATTGTTGCTTGAGTTAGAGCCTAAGATTATATGCAGTGGACTATTATGGCAGGCTGTTTCTACATTTATTAAATGCATTTGTAGATTTCCATTTGTAGATCAATAAAATAAGATTCTTCCTGATAAATACCACACTCCTAGACTGAACTGTAATAATATATTTTCCAAATTACATATTTGTAGCAGAAACTGAACTTAAGAAAGTAAAAAAACAAAATTGTACCAGTAAGAAATTAAGTTTTATATATCTAGAAATGTTTACACATTTTAAGTGCCTGTTCTGACATTTATCAGCTTGGCTGAATATGTATTTATGATATCTGAAAAAAAATGTTTTCATTTTTGAAATAATACAAAAACTGACCAGTAATATTAGAGTGGGGCCTAGAGTGGGGATTGGCGTCACCATGACAACAGGCAACAGGAAGTGTCTATTTCACCCCACTGGAACTAGAGATTTTAATTCAGAAATGAAAAAAAAATGAAATCAAATCAAATAGGAGAATATGTTTAAAAGACAGATAAACAGTGTTACAGATCTTGACTGAATATGTATTTACAATATCATAACATTTTTTTTTTTACATAGTTCAAATAATCCAAAAACTGACCAGTAATATTAGAGTTGGGCCTGGAGTGAGGAGTGGCGGCCTAGAGGTTAGGGCATTGCGTTTGGAATCCTGAGGTTCTGAGTTCGAGCCCCACTCCCACATACTGCTACTCTGGCTCTCTGAGCAAGACCCTTAACCCCACACTGCTCCCTGGGCGCCCCATGATGGCAGCCAACTGCTCCCCAAGGGGATGGGTTAAATGCAGGGGTAAATGTCACCAAAGTTCAATTATTATATTAGGAACAGTGTTGGGCACGTTACTTTGAAAAAGTAATTAGTCATAGTTACAAGTTACTTCTCCCAAATAGTAACTGAGTTAATAACTAAGTTACTCCACAATAAAAGTAACTAGTTACTAGTAAAATAGGGTGACCATATTTTTATTTGGGAAAACCAGGACACCTTGGAGCGGGGTGGGGGGGTGGGTTGATTGAAAGAACAAATGTCTCATCATCGGGATTTGCTCCGTGAACAGAGGAAATGTTACTTGGCGCAGAACAGTGGTGAAAATTGGAAGTTCAGTTTAATATAATACAACTCTGTGAATAGTTCCGTCTGAGATGAATGAAAATAGTTGTTTTAATGGTTATAGAGTCAGATATGTGGCGGTAATGTTTGATTTATCTAAAGGTTTTTATCTGTTACTGTGTAAATGAGTTTGGCTGTAATTTAAGGACAGATTCTAATAGATCTGCAGAGTGGGAACTATAAATCTGATAGGAGTTTAATTTTTTTATTGTTGTTTTGCACAATATGCTTAACTAAGTATTTTTTGTTGTTGAATATTAGAGATTTTGCAGATATATTTTTATACATACATTGTTTAGATTTACTTATGTATTTCTAACCCTTTTATAGAATAGAAAATCCCTTTATTGTCCCACAATGGGCAAATTTACAGCAGCAGTAAGATTATTGAAAATAGTCACACAAATGAGGACCTTAGAAAAATGTATAAGAATAACATAATAGGGAAGAGTTAAAATATAAACAATAAAATACTGTAAAGTGTTTTAACAATATAAAACTGGGGAATAAATAACCAATATGCAGCTATGGACATTTTTACAGTAATGAATATTTGAAAATAGCAACATCAGAGATGTGCAGAATGACAGCAGCATGTTATTTAACTGACTAATGTTTCTATCATTACATGTGATTTTATTTGTTCCTGCTCCCGGTGGTTGGAACCTTTATTCCGCTCTGGATTCTTATGAGTGTAGTCTTTGTGCGCTTCCACTATTTTAAAAATAAATAAATAAAACAGTTTTGAAAACCTCGGTATTCATTCTTTTCCTGCTTCGTGTGTCAACTTTCACGGTTGCTAAGCAACAGAGCATACGCCGGTAAAACCCGCCGAAGGGTGGACCTGTTCGAATTTACAGACAAAACTCTTCTGGTCTCCTTATTTTCAAGGACTTTGAAGGATCCAGTCTAGGTAGACCGCGTCCTTGGAGGATGCAGCCCAGGTTTTCGAACAGAGCCTCTGTTTAAGAACAGGGCTGCCCGCACTGACGCGGCTCAGGGATTACGTCACACGGAGCGTCGTGCGCAGTGAAATCAGGACATTTCCTCACTTTCTAAAAAAAACCCGGGACGCCCGGGACAGGACGTGAAATACGGATATGTCCCGGGAAATACAGACGTTTGGTCACCCTATAGTAAAAGTAACTATTGCGTTACTTTTGCGTTTCTTGCCCCCGTAACCCTCACCACCCGGCCCCCACCTTCTCGCCGTGTGTTTCTAAAGCCAGCTGAATAGAGCGGACGACAAAGACAAGAACCTGCATCAGGGGGGAACGCTGACGGGCCTATAAACCCCGTCAGATGGTGTTCTCCCTGCTTAACATGGAGGAACGGTATCTGATGCAGTGTAAATATCATCAGGCTGCATTACCTCTACTCATGGGTGTGAAGTTTTTTAATAGGGCGTTCAGATCTGGTGAGTGTATGACACTGATAACTGGACATGTCTAATTCTGAAATGCTGTGTGTTTGGGTTATTCTATCTATCTATCTATCTATCTATCTATCTATCTATCTATCTATCTATCTATCTATCTATCTATCTATCTATCTATCTATCTATCTATCTATCTATCTATCTATCTATCTATCTATCTATCTGTCTGTCTGTCTGTCTGTCTGTCTGTCTGTCTATCTATCCATCCATCCATCCATCCATCCATCCATCCATCCATCCATCCATCCATCCATCCATCCATCCATCCATCCATCCATCCATCCATCCATCCATCCATCCATCCATCCATCCATCCATCCACTCACATCTCACATTTGGACTATAAAGATCTGAAATTAATTTATAGACGTCAAAAATGTTTATTCTAGATGGAGAATGTTATTTTGTTTGAAATGGTCATTTAGACAAAGAAAATTTGTTTTTTCAGACATCAGGAACTCAACTAGTAAAAATCAAATTAACTTGCCAGGCCTCTTGTTACTGCAGTAATATTACGGGATTATTTCTTGAATGGCAGGAGATGAATGTATCTATTTAGGTGAAATCTTCTGGCAGCAGGTGAAAATGAAGTCTATAAACGTTTTTCTAATATATAGAACCTGTGGATAATCTCATGCTTTCCTCCTCATGTTGTTTTAGTCTTTTTTACACAGTAAATACTAAGTGGTTGTTTGCAGCCATGCTTGGGATGTTATCATCCCAATAAATGGTCGTTATTAGAGGTTATCAGTCACATAGAATGCCTCAGATTGTGCCAGTAGGCTCATTAGGTTATCATTGAGTCAATCCTAATCCTAAAACTAAAGTAATTCCTTTCCCCCCCCACAGAATTAATGAATCTATTTATCTATTTATGTGTAATCTGAAAATAATTTCAGTATTTCTTTATTTACTGTAAGTTTAACTAAATAAAAATAAAACCATCCGCATCTCACTAATATTAAACAAACCAAACCATGCCCTGTCAACTGAGTTGTAGCATCCTATCTTTATAAATATTTTATTCTCTGTGAAAAAGTGCAGAATATTCTTTAATAAGATCCTCGTCAAACGGACATGCAAGGTTTGTTTTTAAAGCCTAATGTGTGTAACTGACCTAGTGAATGATATATATATATATTTTTATGCACAAAACTACAACAAAAATCAGACCAAATCAGGAAATAAAACAGCGTGATCGGCTGTAGGGAAAGTAGAGGTAAAGGAATCTCTGAGTTTACTGAAGAAAACCTGCTAGCGACCAGGTTAGCTCTGGGGAGAATGTTACTATGGTGACTGAAACAGAGGTTAAGGAAACTCTCTTTGTGAAACGGAAAATTTAGAGTTTCCCTGTTTTCAGGTTTAGAAAACTTGAAGTTTTCAGTAAACCTGCTTTGTGAAACGGACCCCAGGTTTTAAAATCCTTTAACTCTGGTGTTATTTGGTGTTTATCAGACAAAAGCAGCACTGATTTTACTGTTTGATGATTTAAAGAAATTGATTTCTTTCTGAAACAGAGTCACAATAAAGGAAGAGTTGAAGAAAATAATACTGATGTTATTCTGAGACCAACCGTGTTGCAAAGAGATGTAAACATTAGTTTCCATCTGATTCATTTCATGATTGGTGCTGGAGCTCTGATTGCTGCTTCCTGACCGGAATAACCTGAAAATATTAGTTTGAAATAAATTTACAGATTAATAAAAAGATTAAAGGTTCAAGATGAGAGAAAATGTATTTCATACTGACCTGATGCAGCATCGATCTGTGGGGAATAAAAAAGAAAACATTCACATCATCAACGTTAAATTGATTTACTTCAAATTCAAATTAAATCCATTAACTATATACTGAAGTATTTAAACTAAGAAGCGATTTAACATGACATGAGAGGATAAAGATCTGACCATTGGGGTGTCTACAGCGCCACAGCAAGGCCAGGAGGATAATTATAATGATTCCACTAACAATCAGCAGCACAGGAAATAGAGGGTTATAAGGGCTGGATGCTGCTCCTGGAAATAAAACATTACAAAGAATTTAATGATTTTATCATCAGATCCAATGAAAATATTCAAATAAATGACTTTAAGCAAAAACATAGAATTAAATCTACATAACATCTTCATAAACATCCTGACTTTGAATCAAAAGGTAAAAGTATAGCAACAATAATAGACAAACAAATGATGTTAGTTGTTAGGGTCAAGGGAGTCAAACTTAGTTATTAGAGTTTGAGAAAACAAAATATTTATTTGAGATCAGGTTGCCTGAGAAAGATTTAATTCTTCAGAAATGAAGCAATTGTTGTTAAAATGACACAAATGTCTGACAAAGTAGCAAAAAGATAAAAAAATTAAAATTGTATGGAGAGAAATAGTTTTTCAAGCTCATAACAGGACGTCTCTTTGTAAACTTGTTTTGTTTTCTATTCAACAGTTTAAGTTTCTGGGTAATTGGGAAAAAGCTTGTTCACAATTAAGAGATTCTATAAGATTTATTCTCAGTTTAGGTGTATAAGATATAGGGAAGACTGGTGTTGTGCCATAATCATGGTTTTTGGAAATTGGGAACCATTGTCCATATTTCATCTTGACATGATGACCAGAGAAGGAAATACAGTTTTGGTGAAAAACAGCTGTAAGATCTCTGATGAGTAAAGACAAAGCTAACAGGATGGACTGCATGCTTTGCTACAGTAATATGCTTTGAGCTGTTGTTGAAGCTTGGACAAGCTTTATTTCACTAAGGTTTTAAAGGTACACTATGCAACCGCTGTTGATTTTCCAGTGAGGCTCCCTCCAGAGGGCGAAAGTAAAAGTGCACTGTCGTAAATATGCTCAGCTGTTCTCCTGGTTTCTCCGTCAAGCCAGGCGCGGTTGTTTTGAGCTTAGCAGCGAATGACTAACGCTGCGTTCACACTGGATGTAGCTGGCGCGACAGAAGCAGCGAGTTTACATGCAAAGGTCCCGCAGCGCGTTTTGAGCTGCAGGCGCAGCACGTCTGAGCGGCTACAGCAGCGCGTCGGGTGCGTTTAACGCAGGGAGAGAGACACAGCGCTGATGATCACTGCTCTTAAACAGTTTATTGACGCCTAAATTAACTTAAAAGGCAGAAATCTGCCGGCAGAATATGCAGTTTGGATTATTTAGATGAAAAACACCTACCAGCTGCCGCGGTGAACCGCTGCTGATGAAGGGATCCATACTGTCGGCGCATCCCTGGTATGTGGGGGTCTGAGCGGCTCCGACAGAAAAAATATTGAAGGCAGGATAATAATCTGGATGAACTGACGGCACTGATTACGTTTTCAGGTGTATTTTCTCACTTAAAAACATATTAAAACTACTTTATTCCCACTGATCACAGCAAATATAGCTGTAAGGCAGAGAAAGGATAGTGAAGCTCCGCCCAACGCGCCTCAGACACACTTTTGCAGACAGAGCAGCAAAGCTGCTTCAGCCGCGCGTCAGTACTAACTGGTACAAGCAGCAAAAATGAAGCAGCAGATGCGATTTTGCTGCTTTTGCTGCGTGAACGTAGCATAACTGCACAAAGATCGCCACTGTGCTAGCAACGAGCATGCTTTTAACTGGGGGCGTGTAGCAGTTCTCGCCGTAAAGCAAGACTGACTCTCACGAGACTTCTGAGCCTGTGGGTGCGGGTCGGTGCTCCTGCAGTTGCAAGTGCAGTATTTCCCCCACAGACCACCAGGGCGGCCGAGAATACCTTTGTTCAACCTGAAATGACTCATTTAGTCATCCATAACGTTATGGAACACAATAATTAACTGAAAAATGTTGCATAGTGTCCCTTTAAACACTGATAAAACATTAGTGTTTATGTGTTCCTCATATGTTCATTACGTTTTGATTACCAAGTATGAACAACAGTCATTTAGTGGAATCCTGATGTCTATTCGCTGCTAGCCAGAGGATAAAGAATCATTTGATTAAAGGTTATTGGTTCTTGATCAAGCAAATAATTTAATAAAACATTATTTGGCAAAATAATGTTTTATTCACCTCATGGATTTGCATTGTGAACTGGTCTGAAAACATTCCAATTTCCCTAAATTAGTGAAAAGCTAATTTGATCATATCCCAAATTCTTCTAGATAAACTTTGGTTTTCAAACTCAAATACATTTTAAACTGTAATATGGTTTTCAACCATGCTCCCCTTCCTCTTTGTACATAATAGTTTGGTTTAGTTGAGTTTCACTAGTTTTAGTTGAGAGTGTTAAACTGAAATATGTTTGACTTGGAGCTGAATGATTTTTGTTAATAAACTCTTGTAATTTCAACAGAAGTTGTGGTGAATTTATTCCATGTATGTGTAGAATTAACTGTTTGACCATGATTAGTGCTCGAGTCACTCTTTCATTTATTGTTCTAATACACAGCTAGTAGGGCGAGGGTTCATAAACAATTAACGTCCGAAATAATATTTGATTAGATAAGATATTTACCACCCCTACCAGTGAGGGCAGTAAACATCTTAAAGTATCAGAAATATAAATTCTCAGCTGACTGGGAATTAAATAGAATATAAATCTACAACATTAATGCGGCATCCAACCTGGATGGGCATTGAACATAAAATCCCAACACTGGGCTGCTCCAGACATTTTTAAGTGCTTATATCTTCACCTTATTTTCCCTTTGTGTCAGACAAGGAGTTGTTCTTTAGACAGAAATGTGCTTATAAGCTCTGAAAATGGGAACAAAGTGAATTTTCCTGCAGATAACTAAAAGATTAACAGAAGAAAGAAGATTTGAAAGGAGTCAGAGAATCTGATTATTTTAACAAATTCTAAAATTTAACACCTTATGATCAGATGGCCTGAATCATTTGATGAGAATGAATTTCAATTATTGCACCTTTTTACATGACAGTTGTTTCTAAATCTATAATCTTAGGAATAGATATAGTTCCCCCAGAACCCGAGTTACTCTTTCAAAACGCAAAGGCCACATATAAAGTATGTGTTCATACATTTTTATATAAGATATAGGAGATCAAGTAGGAGATCAAATGTACATTTCCTGCATCGTACACACAAGTCAAATTCTAGGATGTACCTCACCAGCAAGAAAAAGGAGGTAAAAAAGGACCTAAATAAGCTGTAATTAATTTACTTTTCACCTAAGAAGAATTAAAAATGAATTTAAGGTACATTTCAGAAAGATTGGACAAGTATAATTGTACAAAAGTTAATCTCTCTTCCTGAAAATTCCTACCTTTCCAAGGTTCTTAAACGCACCACATGCATAGCACTCTGTCCAGAGCAGACAACCTTTTAATGATCCGTTTGTGCGTCCTTAGATCCCTGAGTTAATATGTTGATGTTGTGTTACACTCTGTGTTTGTGTTAACCCCCTATGCCTACACTGATAGCTTAGCAGTAGTTTTCACAGTTGTTTGTATTGTGTATTTTATGGTGAACAGTTAGCCTCAAATGAGTGATTAGCCGTTAGCTGCTAACTAGCAATAGTCTCAGAGTTTTATGGTGCAGTATTGCTAATCCCCGTTGATTATACATTGCATGCTGAATCCTAGTATGATATTTGTGTCTGAGTTTTATTTTCTGAGTCTGTACTGTGTGTTTTTATTTCACAAACCACACACACACCTCCACAGAACCTTAAATGCAGGTAAACCAATCAAACCTGATTAAAGGAGTGCCTCTACTTACTGTCATGTTAAAATGAGAAGGATTTGTCCCCTTGCAAGGAAGGCTGTAGCGCCCTGGGGGCCTTCTTACCGGTTCTTTTCCTGGGAGCAAGTTATTTACTACTCTTAACTCAAACTGGGTAAAACCATATTAAAAGAACTATAAAAACAGGAGTAAAAAATGACAGAGTTTATTCCAGATCAGGTCGTTACAGGACAGAGAAAATGCTTGGAGCTTGCACAGCTGTGGTCTCAAAAATCACGTACGCGAGCGTCCGGCAAAGTTTGAGCCCCGAACAAGGTCATCTCCTGCTTCTTATAGCTCATGGGTGTATGTGTTGCATCATATTGATGTTGAGCTGGCCGTATCAGAAACTGACACGCCATCCATGTCTTGAACTTCATGCAGCTTGCTTCTATACTTTAGGGTTACAGATAGCTATCCTCTATCAGACCGGCTCCAAGATGTGTCCATATCCTGTGTACTCTTAAAGACATGAAGGCTGTCCTGATTAGATGACCTCCGTACACATTGTGATATCCACAATGTGAAGGAAGGCCTTCTACTCTGTCTAATCTGACTAACAAAATAACAATGCACATGATGTATAAAAGAATAAACATAACACTGCAAACACCTGAACATCTCTACAGTGTCCTGACCTGACACTCTATAGTGATTGTTGCCACCTAAGTTCCATATAATGTAGGTCTATCATCCAATAATACCAGGTTATGACTCCTTTAAGGTTACCTTTGTGAAGATCAAAAATATTTCAGATATTTTATTCACACATTATAAAGTCCTAAACTATATATTGTCTCTCACCAGCTGATGACAGAGCAAATATTTTAATAACAATATATGACTTGTCTATTGTTCAAGAAAATATTTTTCAAAAAAGTAACACATTGTAACCATTCAGCACATCAAATAATTAATTTTTTAAAATAATCTTTTGATAACTGAATGGAAGCAACCAGATTGATGTTCTCTATCAGTGACAACTGTAATCAGATATAATGTAAATAACAAGATATTTTTATAGTATGATGTACATACATGATATTAACTGTATTTCTGTTTTTACCAAAGCTCATCTTTAAAGGTTAAATCTGTTCCATAGACCAGTTGTCCAAAGTCCCCCTGCAGCAAACAGCTGTTTAGTTTAGTTTGGCTTCAGCCTCTTAGATCAAAACAAACCTGACTTACCAGATACTGACAGGATGATTGATTCACTCCACTCTGTTGAAGAATACCAGTCATCTCTGCTTCTACACTGACATGTGTATTTTCCACTGCTGGACTCAGAAACAGTAAAAGTCCAGTCTTTACTGGGTGTGCTGTGTATAACAGAACCAGATCTCCTCCATTCATACGTCCACTCAGTGCTTTCTCCTCCCTGGACCTCACATGTCAGAGTGATCGTCTCACCACTGAACATCTGAGAGCTGTTTGGTTTTTGAGTCACAGCAACCTTGTTGCAAACTGTTTCCAAAAGAAAAAAGAAACATAATAAATACTGTAACACAGAGAATGAAGTTTAAATTAGAAAAACAGATTTTAACGCCTACAGGTTATTGTGATTAAACTAAGAAAGATGAAAATATTTGATTTAGTAGATTTAGTTGCTCATAGTTTTCATCAACAAACTCACAGGTTATCTCCACAGTGACCTCAGAGCTTGAATGTGTGTAGAAGTCTGGGTTTCCTGTCACTCCTTCACACCTGTAGATTCCTCCTTGTCTCACAGTGATTTCTCTGCTTTCTTTCTTATTTATTCCTATTTGAACTTCAGAGGTGTCTGAGGTTCGTCTGAACCATCTGTATTTCCAAACAGCAGAGGTCTGTACAGAGCAGCTCAGTATCACATGGCCTCCTAATGGTATGACTGTTGGACCTGCTGTCAGTGTGGCTCTGGGTTTATCTGCTGTTAACAAAAACAACAATTGGTCAATTTTAAATTCAACATTTAAAGCTTCTAATTGTTTGTTAGTGTTTATTTTTGTAAAATATATCTAAAAACAAAGAAGCAGAGAAATTAAAGTATATAGACTGATGGAATATTGAAAATAAATCAATAATCTAGATTCTGTTTAATATGACTTGAGTTGAGGTATTGAACTTTTGGGACATTAAATGTATTTCAGCTCTTGATTTTCTGCTCTGAGGACAAAGAACTGGACCCACAGGGTTCGGTCCAGCTCACATTAAGGTTATCTTAGTCGAGATCCAAGATATTCTAAAACAGACATTTTATTCACATAATTATAAAGTCCTAAATGATTGTTGTTTCTCACCAGCTGTTGACAGAGCCAATAGTTCAATATCATTAAATGACATGATGTCAACTTGTTAATAAAAACTAAAAACCTCTAAAGTATGAAAACAGAAACAGAGCAGTGCAAGTTGTAAGAATTCAGCACATCAACCATTCAGAGTAGTAATTATGTAACAGGGTTGAGTCTGAATAGTGTGTTGGGGGTGTGGTCCTATTGGGATCCTGTAGAAATGTGAATAAGAGGGGATCTGGACAGTTGATCTGTCTCAGAGACTGTGGACAGCAGCACCCCTTAATGCTGACAGCTCATTTTAATGGACTGAATCAGCTGCAGATTTCTGTTGGACACACCAGACTGTAACATGTCGTATGTTTGTGTCCTTTCAGCTGCTCCTTATTCAGGGGCTGCCACATCAAGTCATACAACTAGCTGACAGACAATGCAAAGTTTTTACACCAGATGGCCTTGATGACACAACCAGGATTTGATCTCAGGTTTACTGCATAAGAGTCACAGACTTCAACCACATCACCATGGACTCTGAACAAGTCTGTTATTGTTTTATTTTTTATCTTTTACGCAATTTTATTGATTTAAATGTGTGAATATAATTTTTACCCATGTTTTAGCTGCTGTTTTTTTATCTGTACTGTTTTATATTTTATTTTATTTCATTTATTTTTTTTTGTCTGTACAGCACTTTAGTCTGCTGTGGTTGCTTTTTAAGTGCTTAAGAAAAAAGAAAAATTGGATCGGATTGGATTCTGTTATATTAAAAGTAAAAAGTCTTTGGAGATATGTTTGTTTTATAAAAAGGGCTGAACTTAATTTGATTATATTAAAGTTTTTAATTGACAGTCCAGTTGTTATAATCTGTACTTTAGAATAATCAATCAAATAATTATAGTTTATAACACAACTTTCTTTCTCTCAGGAAAACCTTTGAAAGTTCAGGTGAAAATCTGATTTTTATCAAATTTATTTTAGATAATTTAATGGAAGTAACCAGAACATTGTTCTCTATTGTTGGTAAATGAACCATTTTTTTATTGAAAATATATATTTCTTGTAATTATTTTAGCCTAAGGTGTGTTTTTATAAAAATAAAAACATTCATGATATTTATTCTGTTTTCTACAGTTTATGTTTAAATTCTTCCTTAAAGGTCAAATCTGTCCCATAGACCAGTTGTCCAACCTCCCCCTGCAGCAAACAGCTGTTTAGTTTAGTTTGGCTTCAGCCTCTTAGATCAAAACAAACCTGACTTACCAGATACTGACAGGATGATTGATTCACTCCACTCTGTTGAAGAATACCAGTCATCTCTGCTTCTACACTGACATGTGTATTTTCCACTGCTGGACTCAGAAACATTAAAAGTCCAGTCTTTACTGGGTGTGCTGTGTATAACAGAACCAGATCTCCTCCATTCATACGTCCACTCAGTGCTTTCTCCTCCCTGGACCTCACATGTCAGAGTGATCGTCTCACCACTGAACATCTGAGACCTGTTTGGTTTTTGAGTCACAACAACCTTGTTGGAAACTGTTTCCAAAAGAAAAAAAGAAACATGATAAATGCAGTAACGCAGAGAACAAAGTTAAATTAGGAAAATAGATTATAATGATTACAGGTTATTGTGATTAAACTAAGAAAGATGAAAATATTGATTTAGTAGATTTAGTTGCTTATAGTTTTCATCAACAAACTCACAGGTTATCTTAACAGTGACCTCAGAGCTTGAATGTGTGTAGATCTCTGGGTTTCCTCTCACTCCATAACAACTGTAGATTCCTCCTTGTCTCACAGTGATTTCTCTGTTTTCCTCATTATTTGTTCTGACTTCAACTCCAGAGGTGTCTGAGGTCCTTCTGAACCATCTGTACCTCCATCCAGCAGAGGGCTCCACAGTGCAGCTCATTGTCACACTGCCCCCTACTGGTATGGTTGATGGACCTGCTGTTAGTTTGGCTCTAGGTTTATCTGCTGTAAACAAAAACAACAAATGATCAATTTAAAATTCAACATTTAATGCTTCTAATTGTTTATTAGTGTTTGATTCTGTAAAATATACGTAAAAAAAATCAGAAGCAGAGAAATGAAAGTATATAGACTGAAGAATTACTGAAAATAAACCAATAGTGTAGATTCTGTTTAACATGACTTATTGAGGGAGTGGTGCAGAGTATCAACCATAGAGTGAACAACCAGCCCAGCCTAATGTGAAACTTTATAAAATGAAAGATGAAGTATTGAACTTTTGGGACATTAAATGTATTTTAGCTCCTGATTTTCTGCTCTGTGGACAAAGAACTGGACCCACAGGGTTCGGTCCAGCTCACATTAAGGTTATCTTAGTCGAGATCCAAGATATTCTAAAACAGACATTTTATTCACATAATTATAAAGTCCTAAATGATTGTTGTTTCTCACCAGCTGATGACAGAGCCGATAGTTCAATAACATTAAATGAAATGATGTCAACTTGTTAATAAAACTAAAAACCTTTGATCTCAGGTCTACTGCATAAGAGTCACAGACTTAAACCACATCACCATGGACTCTGAACAAGTCAATAATTTCTGTTATTATTTAATTTTTCATCTTTTACCCAATTTTATTGATTTCTATGTGGGGATATAATTTTTACCCATGTTTTATCTGTTTTTTATCTGTACTGTTTCATGTTTTGTTTTATTTTATTTTATTTCATTTTTTGGCTGTACAGCACTTTAGTCAGCTTTGGTTGTTTTTAAAGTGCTTAAGAAAAAAGAAAAAAATGGATCAGATTGGATTCTGTTAGATTAAGTAAAAAGTCTTTAGAGATATTTCTCTTTAAAAAAAAATGTATGAAAAGGTGTAATGGAACTTGTTTAACTTAATGTTATTCAATGTTTAGTTCCTCTACTGAGGCCACCTAGTGGCAAATATTATAATTGTGTGTATTGCTAGTTCATAATCGCCATCTTGTGGTAACTTTTATTACTACAACTTGTTTACCAGAAAGGAAGAAAGCCTGTTCATCCATCTGCTCTGAAAGAAGCAGTGTTTGTTGTATTTTCTTTAATCTAAGTGCAAAACGGCATCGTCTGTAAGTACTGTTCTAATTTGCCTGTCATATAAATCATAATTCATAACCAGTTGACATGTTTTATGTGAAGATAGACTAGGGCTGGGCGATAATTCAATAACGATATATATCGATCGATAGACGTGTGGCGCAATAGAAAAAAAGAGGGTCGATAAAAGTTCGATTAAAAAAAACGCAGTTTTCCTTGCTTCTCATTGTAGCCTAGCATGTAGGTTTATGCTAGTCACTGCTTCCTCCCAACCAATCACAATCGCGGACCCAGGCATGCCGTCACCAAGCGCCGCCCTCTCAAACCACAACACAGAGCGCATGAAGACGTGCAGCAAGGAGAGCCGGAGGAAACTGTTTCAAAGAAGGGTTTTTGTAGTTCGGCAGTCTGGCAGTATTTCGGTCATGGCAAGTCGGACAAGAAACAAACCACAGTCATCTGTAAAATGTGTAGGGAACCAGTGAAAACCAGTCTGATAACGAAACCAACTTTTTTTTTTATCATCTCAGCCCCTCACACCCACAGGAGTACAAGCTGTGTAGGCCCCGGTGCGGCTCTCCTCCGAGGAATCTTCGGAAAAAATATATATATATTTTCAGTTCTGGGCAGTTTCCCACGTAGTTTTAACAATTGAGATAAAAAATGCTGAGGGGCCAGAAACTTCAAAGTAATAACTCAGGTTAAAGCAGGACACGGGGGCGGCAGCGGTGGGGGGGCATTTATTTATTTGTTATATTCATTTTGGTCACTTTTCTGGTCACTTTAGTTTATTCTTTGTCAGTATTTAATAACATAACTCAGGTCTCTTAAGTTATTTTTCTTTAAAACAATTCTGTTATGGTTAAAAAAGTTGGTTAAATAAAGATTTAATTCGAAGTCTGTGTTTGTGTTTTTTATTAAAATTAACTCATTTAGCAATATTATAAAAAGTCCAGGCAGAGCTGCACATAAAATATGGTTTCAAATCTTTTCAATAATTATCGATATCGATCAATATGCATTTTTTTTTATCGATAAGCTTTTTTTCTATATCGCCCAGCCCTAAGATAGACCTTTTTACTTGTGTTAGCCCAATGTTAGCTTAGCTGGCATTCATTTTCTGTACCTTTGTGTGTTACAGTTTTACACGATTCTCATTAAATTCTGCTAAAGAACCTAATGCAGTGCTTCTTGGTGGACGAATGGGAAAGTGTTTAGCTACCTGTATAGCTGAGTTACTGCTGAAGGCCACAGTGCTTAGCGAGGCCAGGACAAAAGGGCTGATCTTAATTTTATAATTTTTATTTATTTATTTTATGTTTTATTTTTATATTATTTACTGTCTTTTCTAAAGTTTATACTAAGATTCGTCTTTAAAGGTCAAATGTGTTCCATAGACCAGTTGTCCAACCTCCCTCTGCAGCAAACAGCTGTTTAGTTTAGTTTGGCTTCAGCCTCTTAGATCAAAACAAACCTGACTTACCAGATACTGACAGGATGATTGATTCACTCCACTCTGTTGAAGAATACCAGTCATCTCTGCTTCTACAATGACATGTGTATTTTCCACTGCTGGACTCAGAAACAATAAAAGTCCAGTCTTTACTGGGTGTGCTGTGTATAACAGAACCAGATCTCCTCCATTCATACGTCCACTCAGTGCTTTCTCCTCCCTGGACCTCACATGTCAGAGTGATCGTCTCACCACTGAACATCTGAGAGCTGTTTAGATTTTGAGTCACAGCAACCTTGTTGGAAACTGTTTCCAAAAGAAAAAAAGAAACATGATAAATGCAGTAACGCAGAGAACAAAGTTAAATTAGGAAAATAGATTGTAATGCTTACAGGTTATTGTGATTAAACTAAGAAAGATGAAAATATTAATTTAGTAGATTTAGTAGCTCATAGTTTTCATTAACAAACTCACAGGTTATCTCAACAGTGACCTCAGAGCTTGAATATGTGATGAAGTCTGGGTTTCCTCTCACTCCATAACAACTGTAGATTCCTCCTTGTCTCACAGTGATTTCACTGTTTTCCTCATTATTTATTCTGTCTTCATCTCCAGAGGTGTCTGAGGTCATTCTGATCCATCTGTACCTCCATCCAGCAGAGGGCTCCACAGTGCAGCTCATTGTCACACTGCCCCCTACTGGTATGGTTGATGGACCTGCTGTCAGTTTGGCTGTGGGTTTATCTGCTGTTATAAAAAACAGAAAAATATTTGATTTTATACTACAAACTTCATTACTTCAAAGTGAAAAGTAATGTCCTTGTTGGAAACGTGAAAATGGAAAAAACATTTAATTCATCCTTATTTTTCAAATTTACAATTTATTTTTTTAGAATACTGGAGGCTTACCTGAAACAGTTATAGAGATAGTATCACTGCACTTGGTTTGATGTGAGCTGATTCTGGAACCACAGCACTTATATTCACCACTGCGACTCGTTTGGAGACGTAATGTGGAGCTTTTATGTGAAGTGTAGCGGACAAATGGTCGTCTATTCCATATTATACTGTAATACCAGTCAGTTTCTGCTCCTTCATTCATGTCACAGATGAAAGTAACAGACTCTCCACTATAAAATGTCGACCAGTTGGGCTGAATTGTCAGCACAGCATCTACAGTAGAACCAGCATTTAGTTCACATCTGTTCTGGTTTATAATAGATATTAACAACAAAAATTAAAACCACAAAAGGAAAAACACAAATTATATTTGCAATAAAGATTAAAAGCTGAAGTTACCTTGAGTTTTTCCACAACTGAGGAGAGTGTTCAACACTGGAATAAAATGTGAAAGTTGATAATAGTTTAAAAATTAAATGAATTTAATTGAATACAATAATTTTCCCACCATAAAACCTATAAATTACTCTTGATAAACGCAAATACTGCTAATAAAGTTAACAATGAAATATTTTTTTCCTGATCAGAATAGGATCAGTTTTAGTTAGACGTTTTAATGTCTGAAAAGTTCAAACTCCACTTTAGAAACTCCACTTCTGGACTCTGTGTCTGACTGTAAAAAATATAGAGACGTCCTCCACCGCTACTGAATATTTACAGACGGACGGTGAGGCTGAGCCAAAAGGTACAGCTCTAGATTCAGAGATCAGTTTACTTTCCTACCCTGATCTACTGTCATGAAATCTGGATCATGACCAGCAGAACAAAATCCAGATCAAAGCAGCTGAAATGAGTTCTCTCCACATGGTGGCCAGGCCCTCCCTTAGAGATAAAGTGAGGAGCTCTGCAGCTATGGTGGCTTGGACATCTGTTTCAGATGCCCTCTGGACGTCTCCCTCAGGAGGTGTTCCAGGCATGTTATACCAGGAGGAGACCCAGGACACCCTGGAGGGACAATGGTTCTTGATTGGCCCTGAAACGCCTCAGGTTTCCCTCAGAGGAGCTGAAGGTGTCTGATAGAGGGAAGTCTGCCCCACCACCAGGTCTCAGATAAGTGGAAGACGCTGAGTACAAGAACACTTTCATTGCTCCACATTAGCGCTACTGGATCTAAAAATATGTGATAAAATCTGGTAATACTGAAATAAAGTGACTATTAAATATTTAAAGCAGAAAGGAGACGACCACAGCAGGAAAATCAGTGAAAGAGGAAAGTTCTTTAGATAATTTTTTAAACAATGTTGAGAAGTTAGAGCAAGTTTTAAAAAGGACAACATGACCAAATCATGTTCTTCTTTTTTCAGAATTTTCCCTTCATTTGAATCCTTCATACAAAGAAAGGGATCTACTTACACATTAGGCACCGCAGACTGAATAAGGTGTTCTCCATCCTGATCTTAAGGCAAAATGATGGGTTGTTCTGCTTTGGTCAAATATTGTTCCTTTCACATCAAGGTGCAAATGCAGTCTGTAGGAAAATGCAGGTGTCTGAAATAGGAGCAAAGTTTTTATCTCAGCTTGAGATCAGAATACATTTTTATAACACTGACATCACTGCACTGAGTTCCTGTTTTCATGTTTCTTGACAACAGAAAACATGTTGGTGAGAAAAGCAGAGCACACTTTGTTTCTATTTCAATATTCTAATAATCAGGGACTATTATTTCATGCTTAAACAATTAAATTGATACATGTAAAACAGGTCTATGAAATTAATAGAGGAACTGATACAAAATGACTACCTACCACAGAAACGAAGAAAGAGGGACCTAAGTGGGAAATCAAAGGGTTAAATTGTACAAAAATGCATAATGAGGTGAAAAAATAAAAAATCACACAAAGAAAAAAGTGGAATCATGAACTAAGAACCTCATCAAAAAGAGTGAACCATGAAAGGAACGGTCAGAGTGACAGAAGTTGAAAAAAACTAACTGACCCATAAACTGAAGACTTAGCTGAGAATGAGTTAACCAAACCTTTATGCTCCAGACCTGAAACCTTCTAAATCTCCTGCTTTCATATCAAAGGGAACATTTGCAGTTAATGAAGTGCATTTCCCTTCATGCAAATAGTTGCAGAAAACATCAAGTTCTGTGTCTTGTTAAAAATAAGTCAGATTCTTGCTCTGCCCAGCAGTTAAAGAAGCTACTTCACTGCATCATATCTGACATGCTTTAGTGTTTGTCTTTAGAACAAAACATTAAGGTGAAAATTCATCTAGATTTAATGCCATATAGCAGTATATTTACTTTACATTGTTAAAATGCTCTTTGGTTTGTAGAGCGTCAGAAGCCTCTGCAGAACAAGTTTAAAGTTCCCCTTTGCATCTAAAAGGAGCTGATGGGTGAGAATGATCTAATCTGTCAGAGATAGAAAAAGCCATAGCTGTGAGGAAATGATCATGTTAATATTAGAAATATCAGTTAGATCTAAGCCTGAAAGTTAACTTTATATTAGAGAGTTACTCATACTGTTTCATTTCTACATTATTCTATATCTACATCTTGAATTATTGTGTTTCTCAACAATGTTGCTTTGATCAAAGCTGGAAATGTGCCTGAGCTTTTCAAATTAGTCTTTTTTGTATTACCAAAGACAGAAACAATGAGGTCAAAGAGAAAAAAATGTTTCTCTATGTTAGGTAGACTTTTCTCAAAATGCCTGAAAAACTGCCCTGCTACCAGAAAATCCATGATTGTCTGTCACTGCATTCAGTCTGTTGAGGGTCATCATTAAAGTCATTTTAGATGATGGAGCTTAGAGAGACCTCTCAGCACTCAGAGATGTTATACGGCCATAAAGAAGAGTTTTATGCTTTTCTGACACAGGCCAATAAAAATCACTGAGTAAATGTGGCATGAAGGAAAATGGAATATGGTTATCACCTTCTGAACCATCTGTATTTCCAACCAGTAGAGGTCTCTAGAGAGCAGCCCATTGTAACACTGCCCCCTGCCGGTTGAAGGATCAACTGTCAGTGAGGCTCTGAGTTTTACTGCAACAAAAACACAAATTGATCAATTCAAAATGTAAAAGTTATAATTGTTTGTTAGGGTGTGCTTCTGTAAAATATAAGTAAAAAGTCATAAGCAGGGAAAGAAAATGAGTAAATATTGAAAATATTTTTTAAAGTCATTCATTTTAGTTAAGGTGATCAGATTTCTGAAATGCAATCTGGAGACATTTCCAGCTCATAGATTAAATTAGATACATATCATCAAATTTTAAAAAAAGAGACGGGGACAGTGGAGCTTTCATCCATTTTTACATATCTATTAATATCTAAACAACAACAATCAATTTTAAAATCCAGAAAGGTGCCTATTTCCTAAGATGAATAAAATTAATCAATCAAATTCATTCTTCTCCATCTTCTTTTCTTTCTTGCTGACTTCTGCCTGATCTCTGTTTAACGCCTCTAGGTAGATTTTTCTTCCTTGTCTTCAGCTGATCTTTCCATCAGTGTCACTATTTTCTTCCGCTCTCATTCAATATTCTTTCTGTGGTTTATGTTACATTTCCATAGCCTGGGTGCCAGTCCGAACTTAGTCCTGCCCACAAGGTTTGAGTTCGGGGAAGTTCGGTCTGGCTCTGCTCCATAGTAGCGCGAGTATGATCACCCACTGTCAGGCGATCCAATCAAATTCTCAGGGCAGGCTTTATACGATGATGGACAGATGATCAACAGTAACGTTATCAACCACGTGACCAAAGCGCGCTTGGGTGACAACAATAATGGCTGCCGCTGGAGAGTTTGGGTGAGTAGATTCTGCTATTAGGTCTGTTCTAGAAGATATCGACAGCAAATTAATTTTAAAAGAGGAACAGAGAAACGCGATCAAGTCTCATCTTCTTATTCTAGGCGTGAAACTGCACGCTTTGATTTTTGTGGACAACAACTATGCCTCGCTTAAGATACGTCACGCACTCCGTTGCTCTTATTGGTTGTAGGTCTATCCAATTGAGTGCAGAGGCATTTTTTTTCCTGGTTCGTTCAAAACACGCCCCATAATCACAGCTCTATGGAGCAGTATCAGACTCATATTCTGACTAGAATTGAGTCGGTCTACGTCAGGCTAACATTTCCAGGCCTCATCTTTAGAAAAACAAAACACATCAAAGCCCTTTTCATCAATCTGGTCACAAACCAAACATTTATGACAATGATCAGCCCAATTCAGATCAAATGAACTGATTAACCCACTCACCATAACACAGGGCAGCTCGTCTGCCCTTCCTCGTCTGTTTCAAAAGTGGGGCGCTCTGCTCCTCATCTATATGTTAACAGCTCATGCACTCTTCCTACCATAATAACAGTCTACATTCATAAAAAGGTCAAATCAGGACATTTCCGGGGAAAGCTTTAGCTGGGGACAGGTGGTCCAAACGGCGACTGTCCCCTGATATAGGGGAGGTCTGGTCATCGTAATTTTAGTTTTTACATTGGAGGCAATCATGCATTGTGTTTAAAGTGAGCATGTTATTGTCACCACATGGACCTTCATAGCGTTAGTGGCTAATTTTAGAAGTTACTCGAGCTTAAAATTTATGGGGCTTGTTTTACCAGCCGAATTTTAGTTAATGGTTCATATCATGTATATATATATATATATATATATATATATATATATATATATATATATATATATATATATATATATATATATATATATATATATATATATATATATATATATATATATATATATATATATATATATATATGTGTTTCTGTATTTTCCTGTCTCCACCTGCAGCACGGCCAGCTTAATGTGAGGCAGCTTGATAAAATTCAGAGGTACTGTGTCAGCGGCATGATGTCTGTTGGATCACTTCCCAATACGGCAGGGGATAATCGAAAGAAATTAATAACAAGAATTTATGAAACTTAGGAATAAAGCTCCAATTTCCTACTAAACATCTTTCAAAAATCATATTTGCGGCAAAAGATGTATTTCTCGGGACAGCTGCCCTAACCCTGACCCTCTGCCCTGTAGCTGTAGCATACAAAGACATCTGCAGGTCTTCACAGGAGACAGAGTTTGGATATAACGACAAATTATGGAGCTTGGAGTGTTCTGGAAATGCCTATATTTTAAGACACAATAAAAAAAAAAAGAAGCTCTTGGTTGCGCTGATATCCTGCATTGCCGTATACCTGGATTATAAGGTGGGAACTCTGGCTTTCTACAATGTCTCTGAAAATATGACCCTGCTCCACAGAGAAAACGCCACATTCTCTCAGCCCCTTTATGCTGGTATTGGGCTAAAGACTGACGCGTACTACACTAGATGTTATGGAGAGATGATGAAGCTTCCATGCTGAGGAATGACTCCACAACACACAAACATCTAAACTTTTGAAATGTTTTAGTAGAGCATTGTGTCCCTTTGGACATTTGTTAGACTTTTAGTCAGCAGAAAGAGTAATGTTGATGTTAACTGTTCCTCTAATGTGTTCAGTGGCTCTATCTGTGTTGTAGCCTTTTTTCCAGTTTTGCATAACGTTGCCTTTCTCGCCAAGATCTAATATTTTAGTGGTGTTGCTTTTCTCCTTCAACTGTTTTCTAAAGTTTATATATATTAAATCTATTTGAATGAAACACTTCAAAGCCAAACACCAGTCAATTTTCTTTTAATTCATATTTGCCAGAAAATATCAGGAATCAATCCTGAACTGTGCTTTTTGACTGATTTGTTTTGCACTTTTTTAAATAAGGATGTAATTAAAGACCTATTGCACAAACAGGTACACAACCCCACACACACACACACACACACACACACACACACACACACACACACCACCATGCTCTTGATTTAGTCATAAAAGAGACCGCCCCATCACCGAAATGAAAGCATATGATTTGGGCGTTTCTGACCATGAGGTTATCTCCCTGGATCTGCGCCTAGCAGGTCCCTACAATATAATAAGTGTAACTCTCACACAATAAATGCCTAAAACTTGAAGCCTATATAGAAGCAGTATTATCTATAGCTATTGCTGGTCGTAGAACAAACTGGATCATCTGTTGATGGAGGACTCCAATTACCTGCAAGGAAAGAGCATACATTTAACAAATTAACTTAAAGATTTCCCTAATGATATTTGCCAAACAAGGCTAAGAAGTAAGTTTTTAAGACGAATCTCTAAATGTGAAAAAAAAAAAAACATTTCAGAGCAGAGATGAATGATTATACCACTGACAGTGTAAGCAAAAGAAATGATTACCTGACCTTCATCTTGCTCTGTAATTCTGTGGTTTCACATTAGCGTAATCAGTATTTTCCTCTGAATGATGAGGTCTCTCTACAAAAATTGTTCAATTAATACATGGAAAACATAAATTAATGTTTAAAATATCTTCTGAAAAGGAATTGACTACCTAAATTTTTTTAATTGTTTACATTTGTTATTAAATAAAAGCTTGGGATTCATCTGCATTTAAAATATTTCAAAATTGAATCTCAACTATTTATAATCCATCTTCTTAATCAACAACATCTCTATATTAAAATATATACTTTACCTCCTCCAGTGGCTCTGCGGGTTTGGATCGTCTCATAGACTGAAGAGGTCGCTAGAAAATAAAAATATATATGTCCATTAAAGCTACAGTGTGTAATTTTCAGCGACATCTAACGTCCAGACTGCAGACCGCAGCAACGAGAACATCTCTCCCCCACTGCTTCTCCCCTCCAACAGTACGGCGAGCGTTACGGGACAAAATGTCTTCCACGACGTCCGCATCACCTACCTTCTCAAGTGATGAGGTTTGTTTACATAGATAATTTTACAGATAGTATTTCATTAGTCTGTGTAGGGTATAGATTTCAGTACCGTCTCAGTTCATCTCTCTCAACTTGCCGTTGTTACTTTCGAACGTAATGGGCGATCTCGCAATCGCTAGTTTGTTGGCTCTGCGCTGCCGTAGCGCAAAGATGTCTGCCTCCATGGCTGCGAGACCCGCCCCTATGTAATTATAAATAACGAATTCTAAGGCAACGCAAATATTAAGGTTAAGAGGCTGAGCTCTTAGATGATGATAAATAACATAGTTATGTATAATATATTACATTTCTGACTGTATATCCCTGTAATTATTACACACTGTAGCTTTAAAGCTACAGTGTGTAATTTTCAGCGACATCTAACGTCCAGACTGCAGACCGCAGCAACATGAACATCTCCCCCCACCGCTTCTCCCCCCCAACAGTACGGCGAGCGTTACGGGACAAAATGTCTTCCACGACGTCCGCATCACCTCCCTTCTCAAGTGATAGGTTTGTTTACATAGATCATTTTACAGATAGTATTTCATTAGTCTGTGTAGGGTATAGATTTCATGTAGACTTCAGATAATAAATATACCCGTTATTTTTTCTACATCGTTGTGACGTTTTGGTGAGCTGTTTGCATGGTGATATAAACAGACGAAGTAATTGTAGTCATTAGTTTAACAGCGAGATTGTGTTCGCTGGAAGAATATATATTCCCCGTTTACAGAGTCCAAGTCTTGTTTGTGGCACGGGGGTTACAAGGCAAGGAAGAGGGAGAGGAAGAGGGCGAGGGCAGGGAGGCCGTGCTGCCAGGGCCAGGCAAGGGAGAGGTGCCAGCGGGGTGACTAGAGCAGAGGAGGAAAGGCTTGAAGATCTCCAAAGGAGCCGGAGAGAAGTAACCGAGGTATATATCCAGAAAATTACTGAATCATTACCTGTGAAACGTCAGGGACGTTGCTGAATAAGTATACTGGAGAATAACAGCATCATCACGCAGCATGTTATTGTAATGAGCGATCTCGCAATTGCTTGTTTGTTGGCTCTGCGCTGCCGTAGCGCAAAGATGTCTGCCTCCATGGCTGCGAGACCCGCTCCTATGTATTTATAAATAACGAATTCTAAGGCAACGCAAATATTAAGGTTAAGAGGCTGAGCTCGTAGATGATGATAAATAACATAGTTATGTATAATATATTACATTTCTGACTGTATATCCCTGTAATTATTACACACTGTAGCTTTAAAGAAGCTCATGGTTATGATATAAATGCATTTTTTATGATCCTCAGCATAAGCAGAATATTGCTTAATCAATTCTGATAGAGTGATGAAATTCAGCAGAAAAGTATTCAGGGTCCGTTTCACGAAGCAGGTTTAACAAACTCAGATTCAAATCTGCAACTCTAAATTGATCTAGCCTAAAGTCAGGAACTCTGAGTTTTTTATGTCACAACAGCCGCTATCAATTACTTCAATCAACTTCAATCACTCAAGAGTCCAGAGTTTAGCACGTGCACAACAAGTGCCCTTATATAATTATGAGTGGAGGACAGATTCAACGAGTCACCATGACAACAGGTAACAGGAAATGCCTATTTCACCCCACTGGAACTAGAGATTTTATTGAAAAAAAGCACACAAAAAAAAAGTAGAATGTGATTAAAAGACAGAGAAACAACGTTACAGCTGCAAAGGCAAAGAAGATTGTTGCTCGAGTTAGAGCGTAAGATTATATGAAGTGGACTATTATGGCAGGCTGTTTCTACATTTATTAAATGCATTTGTAGATTTCCATTTGTAGATCACTAAAATAAGATTCTTCCTGATAAATATCACACTCCTAGACTGAACTGTAATAATATATTTCCTAAATTACATTTTTGTAGCAGAAAATGAACTTAAGAAAGTAAAAAACAAAATTGTACCAGTAAGAAATTGTTATATATCTAGAAATGTTTACACATTTTATGTGCCTGTTCTGACATTTATCAGCTTGACTGAATATGTATTTATGATATCTGAAAAAAAATGTTTTCATTGTTAAAATAATACAAAAACTGACCAGTATTATTAGAGTGGGGCCTAGAGTGGGGAGTGGCGTCACCATGACAACAGGCATAAAATAGGAGAATATGTTTAAAAGACAGATAAACAGTGTTACAGATCTTGACTGAATATCTATTTATAATATCTGATTTTATTATTTTTTTTACATAGTTTAAATAACCCAAAAACTGACCAGTAATATTAGAGTGGGGCCTGGAGTGAGGAGTGGCGGCCTAGAGGTTAGAGCATTGTGCTTGGAATCCTGAGGTTCGGAGTTTGAGCCCCACTCCCACATACTGCTACTCTGGCTCTCTGAGCAAGACCCTTAACCCCACACTGCTCCCTGGGCGCCCCATGATGGCAGCCAACTGCTCCCCAAGGGCATGGGTTAAATGCAGAGGTAAATGTCACCAAAGTTCAATTATTATATTGGGAACAGTGTTGGGCACGTTACTTTGAAAAAGTAATTAGTTAAAGTTACAAGTTACTTCTCCCAAAAAGTAACTGAGTTAATAGCTGAGTTACTCCACAATAAAAGTAACTAGTTACTAGTAAAAGTAACTATTGTGTTACTTTTGCGTTTCTCGCCCCCGTAACCCTCACCACCCAGCCCCCACCTTCTCGCTGTGTGTTTCCAAAGCCAGTTGAATAGAGCGGACGACAAAGACAAGAACCTGCAGAGAGTTTTGCATTTATTACAACTCAACGTAAATGACATCAGGGGGGAACGCTGACAGGCCTATAAACCCCATCATATAGTGTTCTCCCTGCTTAACATGGAGGAATGGTATCTGATGCAGTGTAAATATCATCAGGCAGCATTACCTCTATTCATGGGTGTGAAGTTTTTTAATAGGGCGTTCAGATCTGGTGAGTTTATGACATTAATAACTGGGGATGTCTAATTCTGAAATGCTGTGTGTTTGGGTTATTCTATCTATCTATCTATCTATCTATCTATCTATCTATCTATCTATCTATCTATCTATCTATCTGTCTGTCTGTCTGTCTGTCTGTCTGTCTGTCTGTCTATCTATCTCTCTATCTATCTTCCATCCATCCATCCATCCATCCATCCATCCATCCATCCATCCATCCATCCATCCATCCATCCATCCATCCATCCATCCATCCATCCATCCATCCATCCATCCATCCATCCATCCACTCACTTCTCACATTTGGACTATAAAAATCTGAAATGAATTTATAGACCTCAAAAATGTTTATTCTAGATGGGGAATGTTATTTTGTTTGAAATGGTCATTTAGACAAAGAAAATTTGTTTTTTCAGACATCAGGAATTCAGTAAAACTAGTAAAAATCAAATTAACTTGCCAGGCCTCTTGTTAATGCAGTAAAATTACTGGGTTATTTCTTGAATGGCAGTAGATCAATGTATCTATTTAGGTGAAATCTTCTGGCAGCAGGTGAAAAAGAAGTCTATAAACGTTGTTCTAATATATAGAACCTGTGGATAATCTCCTGCGTTCCTCCTCATGTTGATTCAGTCTTTTTTATCTACACATTAAATACTAAGTGGTTGTTTGCAGCTGCACTTCGGATGTTATCATCCCAATAAATGGTCGTTATTAGAGGTTATCAGTCACATAGAATGCCTCAGATTGTGCCAGTAGGCTCATTCGGTTATCATCGAGTCAATCCTAATCCTAACCCTAAAGTAATTCCTCCCCCCCCCCCCGCAGAATTAATGAATCAATTTATGTGTAATCTGAAAATAATTTCAGTATTTCTGTAAGTTTAACTAAATAAGATAAAAGGATATTAAATAAACCAAACAATGCTCGTCAACTGAGTTTTAGAATCCTCTCCCTATAAATATTTAATTCTCTGTGAAAAAGTGCAGAATATGCTTTAATAAGATCCTCGTCAAACGGACATGCAAGGTTTGTTTTTAAAACCTAATGTGTGTAACTGACCTAGTGAATGATATATATATATTTTTTTTTATGCACAAAACTACGTCAAAAATCAGACCAAATCATAAAATAAAACAGCGTGATCGGCTGTAGGGAGAGTAGAGGCAAAGGAATCTCTGAGTTTACTGAAGAAAACTTGCTAGTGACCAGGTTAGCTCTGGGGAGAATGTTACTATGGTGACTGAAACAGAGGTTGAGGAAAATCTCTTTGTGAAACGGAAAAGTCAGAGTTTCCCTGTTTTCAGGTTCAGAAAACTTAGTTTTCAGTAAACCTGCTTTGGGAAACGGACCCCAGGTTTTTAAATCCTTTTACTCTGGTGTTATTTGGTGTTTATCAGACAAAAGCAGCACTGATTTTACTGTTTGAAGCTTGAAAGAAATTTATTTTTTCTGAAACAGAGTCATAATAAAGGAAGAGTTGAAGAAAATAATACTGATGTTATTCTGAGACCAACCGTGTTGCAAAGAGATGTAAACATTAGTTTCCATCTGATTCATTTCTTGATTGGTGCTGGAGCTCTGATTGCTGCTTCCTGACCGGAATAACCTGAAAATATTAGTTTGAAATAAATTTACAGATTAATAAAAAGATTAAGAGTAAAAGTTCAAGATGAGAGAAAATGTATTTCATACTGACCTGATGCAGCATCGATCTGTGGGACATAAAAAATAAACATTCACATCATCAACGTTAAATTGATTTACTTCAAATTCAAATTAAATCCATTAACTATATACTGAAGTATTTAAACTAAGAAGCAATTTAACATGACATGAGATGATAAAGATTTCACCATTGGGGTGTCTAGAGCGCCACAGCAAGGCCAGGAGGATAATTATAATGATTCCACTAACTGATCCCACAATCAGCAGCACAGGAAATAGAGGGTTATAAGGGCTGGATGCTGCTCCTGGAAATAAAACATTACAAAGAATTTAATGATTGTATCATCAGATCCAATGAAAATATTCAAATAAATGACTTTAAGCAAAAACATAGAATTAAATCTTCATAACATCTTCATAAACATCCTAACTTTGAATCAAAAAGTAAAAGTATAGCAACAATAATAGACAAACAAATGATGTTAGTTGTTAATGCCAAATGAGACAAACTGTTATTAGAGTTTTAAAAACAAAATTTTATATTATATATTTGAGATCAGGTTGCCTGACAAAGATTTAATTCTTCAGAAATGAAGCAATTGTTTTAAAATGACAAAAATGTCTGACAAAGCAGCAAAAAGATAAAAAAATTTAAATTGTATGGAGAGAAATAGTTTTCAAGCTCATAACAGGACATCTCTTTGTAAGCTTGCTTTGTTTTCTATTCAGCAGTTTAAGTTTCTGGGTAATTGGGAAAAAGCTTGTTCACAATTAAGAGATTCTATAAGATTTATTCTCAGTTTAGGGTTAAAATATATAGGGAAGACTGGTATTGTGCCATGATCATGGTTTTTGGACATTGGGAACCAGTGTCCATATTTCATCTTGACATGATGACCAGAGAAGGAAATACAGTTTTGGTGAAAAACAGCTGTACGATCTCTGATGAGTAAAGACAAAGCTAACAGGATGGACTGCATGCTATGCTACAGTAATATGCGTTGAGCTGTTGTTGAAGCTTGGGCAAGCTTTATTTCTCTAAGGCTTTAAACACTGATATAACATAAGTGTTCATGTGTTCCTCATATGTTCATTACGTTTTGATTACCAAGTATGAACAAGAGTCATTTAGTGGAATCCTGATGTCTATTCGCTGCTAGCCAGAGGATGAATAATCATTTGATTAAAGGTTATTGGTTCTTGATCAAGCAAATAATTTAATAAAACATTATTTGGCCAAATAATGTTTTTGTTGGGATCTGGAGATCTGCCACCTTTCTCCAGCAGAGAGCGCTGTGGGTCTCCTGGGCTGGAGCCTCCCGCACACCTGAGGATCATCAGCCCATCAGGAGACCTCCTACATAAGCAGCAGCCAGACCTGTCTTCGGCGCCGGAGTGTTGACCAGTTTTGGAAAACCCCTCATGACAGAATACTCCGGCCAACAGATTAACTCAGCATTTCACCTCTGGAGGCTGATAGGAGATAACGCCAAGCAGCTCTGAGAACACGAACGAACCTTCAGTGAGTTTCACACACGTTTGAAACATCAGACTCAAACTTTACAGGAGTTAGCAGGCTATGTGAAGGACGCTAACGCAGCGCCTGTCCAACTTCTGGTTCCGGAGCCCCTTCCGCCTCAAAGGTCAGAGTCAGTCACGTCACTTCCGGAATTCCGTCCGTGCCTCCCTGAAAGATTTTCAGGTACTCAAAGTAAATGTAAGGGATTTTTGTTCCAGTGTCGTTTAATTTTTGAACACTCACCCGCCAGTTTTTCCAATGATAAGAAGAAAATTGCCTTTATTCTTTCTCAACTCACTGGCCGAGCTCTTGAATGGGCGGTGGCTAGATTTCCCTCTGAATCCAGTTTTTCATGTACCTTTTCTGAATTCATAACTGAATTTTCTCAGGTTTTTAATCAAGATTCAGACAAAACTATTGACTCCCGAGACTTGCTTAGTTTAAAGCAGGGAAATAAGATGGTGGCGGAGTTCTCCATTGACTTCCGGATTAAAGCCGCAGCCTCAGGCTGGAATGAGTGTGCACTTAAAAGTGCCTATTTTAAGGCTTTAAATGAAAACATCAAGGATGAACTCGCCACAATTGACGAACCAGCTAGTTTGGAGGATCTAATCAGATTAAAGGAATAGTACACCCAAAACATGATTAGCCTTCATTTTCTACTCACCCCCATGCTGAACAACACTCTGGAGTACTTTTTTGATATCTCAAATGCATCTGGAGATCTGGGAGGCTTCTTGCTGTCTGCTGACATTCAAATAATGGAGGTGCCCAGTGCCCGAGGCAGAAAGGTCCATAAAAGTCCACAAAAAACGTTTCAATATTCCTCCATACTGCTCGTCCAAGTGTCCTGAGTGTGTAGCATCCAGAATTTACTCGAAACGAAGTCATTTAGAATGTTTTTAGAGCATAAACAGTAGTGTATAGGATTTCCTGAAAGCGCGTTCACGACGCTACGGAAACCGCGGCAGACCAAACCAGATGAGTGCGCATTCAGCTCAGCAAAGAACTCATGCTCTTACTCAACACTGAAGTCCTCAGACATTTTTCTTTCGTTGTTTCTTTCTTTGCACAGGTAAACAGCACATTTCTTCTTCTACGCTTGCATTATTGGCAGAGCAGACGCTGAATGCGCACTTTCATCTGGTTTGGTCTGCCGGCTTCCGTAGCGTCGTGAACGCGCAGGTGCACGCTTTCAGGAAATCCTATACACTACTGTTTATGCTCTAAAAACATTCTAAATGACTTTGTTTTGAGTAAATTTTGGATGCTACCCACTCAGGACACTTGGAATACATTGGACGAGCAGTATGGAGGAATATTGACACGTTTTTTGTGGACTTTTATGGACCTTTCTGTCTCGGGCACCATAGACCTCCATTATTTGAATGTCAGCAGACAGCAAGAAGCCTCCCAGATCTCCAGATGCATTTGAGATATCAAAAAAGTACTCCAGAGTGTTGTTCAGCATGGGGGTGAGTAGAAAATGAAGGCTAATCATATTTTGGGTGTACTATTCCTTTAACCATCCGGTTGGATAGCAGACTCCGAACTAGAAATAGTTCTAGGCAAAGAAGCCTAAATTTTTCTGTCGCTGCTCCTGCATCTAACAGCACTTCTGTTTTTTTTGGATACCCTGAGCCCAGTACCAGACCAAGGATTAAGAATCAATCGTCTCCTGCTCCTATTCATGCCACTCACTTTTTCTCCTCGTCCACAGAAGGAGCTGAGGTCGAACCCATGTAGATTGGGCATACAAGGCTTTCCCATGAAGAAAGACAACGGAGATTCAAAGGGAACTTGTGTCTTTATTGTGGTGAGCCTGGCCACTTTATTGCTACATGCCCGGCTAAATCAAAAGGATGTGAGGAGTCTGACGGACCATCTAAGATCTGAAAAATCTCCTCACTTACTATTACCTGCGACTTTATTTGTTTCTGATCAGACTCTCACCTTATCAGCTTTTATAGACTCTGGTTGTGAGAGAAACCTCATTGATTCAAGTCTTGTTCAGCAGCTGAAGATTGAGACTATTCCGCTGAAAAAGCCTCTCAGAGTTTCATCTATTGATGGGAAGAGGCTGCATCAAGTCACTCATCAGACACGGCCATTAGAGCTTCTTATCTCTGGAAATCATCGTGAGACCCTAACATTTTTTGTTTTTCCCTCTGCATGTTCTTCCCTGGTGCTAGGATTCGAGTGGTTGGAACGTTACAACCCCCATATCAACTGGGCTGAACGCTACATTGAGTCTTGGTCCACTTCCTGCCATGTCTCATGTCTTCATTCTGCGGCTCCTGCTATTCAGTCCCCTAGAGGTAGGGGGGAGATGGACTCTCCTGACCTTTCATCTGTTCCTACCGAGTATCATGATCTGGCACCAGTCTTCAGTAAGGTCAGTGCGACGTCTCTTCCACCTCATAGACCATACAACTGCGCCATTGATTTATTACCAGGAGCTCCCCTCCCCAGCAGTAGACTGTTCAATATCTCTTAACCTGAGGGAGAAACCATGGAAAAATACATCAATGAGTCACTTGCTGCTGGTATTTTTCGACCATCCTCATCCCCTCTCGGTGCTGGTTTCTTCTTTGTGGGAAAAAAGGACGGTTCCCTCCGACCCTGTATTGACTACAGAGGATTGAATCAGATAACCGTCAAAAACAAGTATCCCTTACCATTACTAGCATCAGCTTTTGAACCTGTCCAAGGAGCAACAGTGTTCACCAAACTCGACTTAAGAAACGCATATCATCTCCTTAGAATAAGGGAAGGAGATGAATGGAAAACAGCAATTAAGACCCCCATAGGCCAATTTGAATATTTGGTCATGCCTTTCGGTCTTACAAACGCTCCTGCCTGTTTCCAAGCTCTAGTCAATGACGTCCTCAGAGACTTCCTGAATGTTTTTGTTTTTGTATACATTGATGACATCCTGATCTACTCAAGAAATCTGTCTGATCACAAGAAACACGTCTGTCTGGTCCTTCAGAGACTGCTAGAAAACAAACTCTTCGTAAAGGCTGAAAAATTTGGGGTTTGCGAATTTCTATAGACGTTTCATCCGAAACTATAGTCAAACAGCTCTACGCCTCACAGCTCTGACTTCTGTTAAGAAGACTTTTCAATGGACACCAGAAGCTGAAGCAGTTTTTAACAAACTTAAGACTCTCTTTTCCAGCGCACCCATCCTGATCCAACCTGACCCCTCTAAGCAATTCATATTAGAGGTAGATGCATCTGATTACGGAGTAGGAGTAGTATTATCTCAACAATCAGATTCAGACCAAAAGGCTCACCCTTGTGCCTTTTTCTCACGCAGACTTTCACCCGCAGAACAGAATTAAGATGTTGGCGTCAGAGAACTACTAGCCATCAAGCTAGCCTTGGAAGAGTGGAGACATTGGCTCGAGGGCGCCAAACATCCTGTCTTGGTTTGGACAGATCACAAAAACCTGGCTTATTTACAGTCGGCAAAAAGATCCAACCCACGTAATTCTCGATGGTCTCTGTTCTTTTCCAGGTTCAACCTAATTATCTCTTACAGACCCGGTTCTAAAAACATCAAGCCTGATTCTCTCTCTCGTCTCTACTCCTCTGATCAACCTGAAACACCCGAGCCTGTTCTCCCTGCCTCTTGCACGGTTGGAGCCGTTTCCTGGGAGATCACTGATCTCATCAACCTAGCCTTGGCCTCTGAACCTGACCCAGGTAACGGAGCTCCAAACAGAACCTACGTCCCTTCCTCTGTCAGATCTCATCTCATCCAGTGGATGCACGCAGCCA